TTGTTCCTTTCTGTTGTTGCTGTAGATTTTTTGCTGCCTGTATAATATAGATGTTGCCTGTTCCCACCTGGGTGAAGTGAGGAAAAGTCGTGTAAAGTATATTTCCCAAGGACACAACGTCGTCCATTATTTTTCATGTAAGAGTCCGAGAGCTTAATCACTATATTATACTGCCCTCAACTGACAAAACGCCAAACATTTTTTTGCGCCAATAAACAAAAATTATATTTGATAATTCAACAGCCTGATCACTTCTTGTTCTTCTCTTTCTTCTTGTTCTTCTTCTTGTTCTTGTTCTTGGGGGTTCTTGTTCTTCTTTTCTTCTTCTTTCTTCTTCTTCTTCTTCTTCTTCTTCTATCCGGTGTTTGGGGGGGGGGGGGGGGGGAGGCAACCGTGGGGGCACCACTGCATCTGAAAACCAGCTCTCGCCATCTATTTTTGTCCTCTGCTTTCCTCAGATTGTCACCCTTCGTCTTTCCTGTCCACTCTGTAATGTTGACCTCCCATCTCCTTCTCTGTATTCCTCTCTTTCTATTTCCTTGTACGGTTCCTTGCAGGATTGTTTTGGCAAGTCGTGTGGATCTTGTGACATACCCATACCATTTTAATTTTCGTCTCTTCACTGTGGTCAGTAGATCTTCATATTGCTCCACTGCGTTGGTGATTCTCTTTCGTACCTCAGCATTTGAAACGTGGTTTTTGTACGAAATGTCAAGGAGTCTACGGTAACATCTCAGCTCTGTGGTCTGAATCTTTTTCTTTATTTCTGCTGTTAGTGTCCACGACTCGCAGGCGTATAAAATATTGAAATGACCAGTGAGCGCATTAGTCTGATTTTTTAGTTGTGCGTGATGTTTCTGTCTCTCCAAATAGGCTTCAGTTTTGACAACGCAGCTGTTGTTTGCGCGATTCTGGGGAGAATTTCTGTCTTGAGGCCTCATCTGAGACGATTGATCCAAGGTATTTGAAGCTGTTGGCGGTCTCAAGTTTCTCGCCCCTGACTTTGATGTCCGCGTTGATGCAATTGGTGTTATTGGTCATTAGCTTGTTTTTCTCGGCACTGATCTCCATGCCATAGGCTGCTGAGGTTGTGTCCAGCCGCTCCACTAGTGTGGCGAGCTCCTGTTCTTCTCCTGCTAATCCATCGATGTCATCGGCAAAACGCAAGTTAGTGATTGTCCTGCCTCCAATACTGATTGTTCCATTGTGGTCTTCCAGAGTGTCAGTCATGGTTCGTTCTAGGAAGATGTTGAAGAGAGTGGGGGAGAGCAAACAGCCTTGCCTCACCCCGACCGTTGTCCTGAACCAATCCCCCATGCTGTCATAAAGGTAGACTGCGCTGGAGGCCTTGTCATATAGTTGTTGTATAACGTTGATCAGGTTGGCGTTAATGTTATGTTTCCTCATGGTTGCCCATAAGGCTGCATGCAAGACCCTGTCGAAGGCCTTTTTAAAATCCACGAAGATATGGTATAGGTTTTGTTGGTGTTGGAGGTACCAGTTATTCTACCTGTGTTTAAAAAAATAAAAGTGAAACTGTGACTATTCTTTGAATATCTAAAAATTCAAATTCCTGAGGAGCGTCTTTTTTAAATCGTTATATGCTGACAAAACGCTATAATTGTTCTCGAAACTACTGGGAATAAAAAAGGCGTTTTGTCAGCCTACGGCAGTACACCGACGACACCACCTGGCAATCTGGCGATCTTGCTTTTTCTTGACACCTGTGTGATAATGATAAGCTTAGGAGCTTAAACTATCGGGTTACACAGATCTAATTGTTTTCACTTATCACCTATGTTTTCTACTATAATTATCATTCTAATTCTGTTTTTTCTGTTCCAGCCTGCAAGATGAACCCATAAAAAAGGGG